TTAAGGTATTTACTCCTTCCCATTACCAGTCTGCCCTCAGTCTGTTCTGATGCAAACTATATGCACTGAGAGCCACGGCCATCTCTGGATGAGGTCTGGCATGTGTCTGGCTTTCAAAAACATAAAGATGATTCATAACACTTGCAACAAAAAAAAACTTAGATGTATAGAGGAAGGAAAACCTGGCTATCAGTAAGAAACAATTATTTTATTGTCGTATTTCTTATTCGTACGAGAAGGAGAAGGAGGAGGAGGAGGAAGAGGAGGAGGAGGAGGAAGAGGAGGAGGAGGAGGAGGAGGAGAGAGAGAGAGAGAGAGAGAAAGAAAGAGAGAGAACAAAAGACTGAAGAAAGAAAGAGGAATAGAACATACTTATTGATAGAAACGCTAATATAGACAGGCCTGAAATAGAAAGTTCTTTAATATTACAACTTCAAGATACATTGTTTAATATAATCAAATACTTAATTGCAAGTGAGTGATACATGAGGATTCTTGAAGATTAATGCAATTGGCCTAGGTGAGCCAGCAGCCACACGACCCTCCCAAACATCACAATGGGTTGAAGGGATTCATGAAACCCAGAATCTTATAACTCAGTTTTCTGTATATGCAAGTGAGGTGTTCTGCCCTTTATTATTTCCCAGGTTTTTCTACACATTTGAGATACTGAAAAGCTGATCTGGAAATAGCCCTTAGCACCCAAAATAAATGTTCTCAACAAACACAGGTTGGACAGAGATGGGGTAGCGATGAGTTTCTTTCTGAGGGGGATGGAGGAAAAAGTGCCCTAGAGTTTCAGCTGAATCAAGAATGCAGTAAGGTGTCCAGGCGGCTCTCTACATGGCATATACGAGACAGAAAGGAAGGCCACAGATGAGGAGCCAGAATGAGACATGTGGGTCTATCCCAGCATGTGGACTGCCCTGAAATGCGGAGGCCCAACATGCTAACACTTGGATACTGTTCTGCTATGATGAACCTTTAAATAGTTCCTTCAGTAGAGATTGTTTCCCTCGAACAGTCTGGAAACTCTGAATAAAGCTCATGATGTGGGGGAAATTCATGCTCAAAGTCTACTGAATGCTCATTTTTGAGGCACTAAACACTGGACCATTCTTCTTAGTAAGAAGCAGCCATTCCGCTATATTTTTGCTTACAATGATTGCCCTCTCTTCTTACCTTTCCCCCTGTATCCTTACAGTATAGCTGAATGACACTGAGTCTAAACTTTGAGATCTCATCCTCTGGGAAAAGAGATCTAGAGAGATTCAGATAGAAAGACAGACGTTTAAAAAAAAAGATAAGTAAAATATAACCCAGACTCAGAAATACCACAGAGGGTGAGCAGAGTGTGATCTCACAGACTTTCCCAAGCGTGGAAGGACCCAAGCCATGGCATGAACTGAGAGCAGAGAGAAGTCATAATAACACCACAGTAGGTGTGGTGACAGGGCTTAAAGAAATCTGTACTATCAAGCGATTATTTCTTTCAGTACTTCTAGCAAAACTAAACTCTTGATTGACATGTTCTCATTTTCAGTATAAACCTCTAGCTCACTTCTGCCCCAACAAGCCATACACCAAGCTGAGGCGAAAGGTGAACACAGGTTTATCTTTGTATCTTCCTATGTGAACCATCACCAAAAAGATAAACCTAATCCAGGTTTTAAAAGAAGTCACAGGAGACAATGCAATCATCCATCATTTTGCAGGCACAGAGAAATTCATCTATCTGTCATACCAATGGATTTATGGTATAATTTGACAGCCTTTGGGTTAAGATTAATTATTGTGTTTCATATGGCAGAAACAAAAGGTTTGTGAACAGTTTAGGCAAATGTGTTTGTTTATTGTAATTGTGTGTTTATTTCTTGATTCCTCTTCGTATCAACAGCTGAAATGTCAAACGTGAGGATGAACGGTAACTGTGAAGATGATGTCTGTCTTCTGCTGAGGAAGAAGCCCACAAGGCTGGAGAGGCTGTGCCATCATGTGCTTGGATATGGGTCATCAACAATCTAAACCAAGTTAAATGAATTGGGGTTAGGGAAAGAGGAAAGCAGGTTATTTTAGAGGAACAAGAAGTTCATTTGAGGCTTTCATTGAATTGAATAAATGTATGACTTCTTCAACCTTCTGAAACTTCTGAAAAATTGACAGGAAATACTAAGCGCAGTCACTGGGTTAGATGGTGTTCATAAAACGGAACGCCAACCACTTCTTGGTAAAAATTAAAATGTGTCCAAAATACTTCTGTACATTCAAATCCTTCTCTGTCTACTTTTGCATGTAACATTCTATCAGTCGTGTGTTGAGAATCTTTTCCCATCAATGTGAAGGCCTGAGTATCATCCTCACTTACTGTACTCAGTCAACACACATGGGGACAAACACAGAACTGAGCACACCGTCCGAAGTGGAAAACAAGGATGATTTCCCCATTACAACAGCGCCATTCTGCTGTCAGATACTACAAATGTGGTGACCGACAAAAGCGCGGGCACCCTATTATGTGCAAAAGTCCGGTGTGCAAAACCCGTGAAGGTCAGAGAGAAGAGAGACAAGGCAAGCATGGCAGGCAGGGTTAGAGCAGCGATCCTCAGCGATCCTCAGCGATCCTCAGCGATCCTCAGCGATCCTCAGCGATCCTCAGCG